CAAATAAACTGACAGCAGTGTCTTTTCTGGCAAGAGACAATATCTTTCAGCCACTACTTTAAGCTGTAATGGTTCTGGTGCCTAGAGTGTCCTTTTAACGTAATAGTATTCCCGAAAGAAGCTCAGTAAGTCCTTCAGCTATTGTTCACGTTGAATATATAAAGAGGACAGCTTCCTTACAAAAAGATATCACGCTTACATGTCTATAGTTTGCAGACTTGAGAGTCCGTTTTATTTCTGAAAAAAGGAAAAAACCCTACTCAACAAGTCTTGAAATTGAGATTGATTTGTTAGAATTGCAATAAACTGAATTCTTTAAGCACACACTAGCCTGGCTCATCTATTTTAACTTGATATCACTCAGCTGGGGAATGTCACGGGTCAGCTAAGGACATCTGCGTTCATAGCAGCTGTCTGCTTATACCTTTTATATAGAGAAAAGTAAATCACTTAGAACCCTACCACCGCCTTACTCTAACTTCATAATTTATTCTTACAGTTATATATTTCGTTTAGATTGGTTTTTTTTGTGTAGCTTGATGATCGTATTAAATATAGTAAACGGTCTGTTTTTTTTCTTCAAAATATTCACACCAGCAGGTGCCATGATTCCAAACACAAATCCTGAATCACTGTGTGGAAGAGAAACCAAGAATGAATCCTTGTGCAAAATTAGCAAGTGCACATTTTAATTGCCATGCTTGTATAGAGATGTTTACATCAAGGAATAGTCTTTGCTATAGGCATTATGAATAAAAATATGGTTCAATGCACATTATGAAGACAATAACCATTTAGTCTGTGGGAAAGATTCATGAGAAGGTCCAGTTCTCCAGCCAAGGAATAGGAAAGACTGCTGCCATTTGGAGATCCAGACTTCCTTAAAGGAGGTACTGTTTTAAAAGCAGTTTGTAGGGTTTGCCAAGGACAGGTATTGGAAATAAATCTTTAATCTTTTGTTTACACCTGGTAGCAGAAGAGAGCAGATGATATGGTGGAGTGGAGCTTGTAGCTGAAAAGAAACACTAAGCACTGTTTTAGCAGTTTTACAGCTTACCTGGGTGCTCCTGGGTACCGGAGGCACACAGTCTACTGCAGCATGAGGTTAATTAGAGAAAATAATGACCAATGTCGTTGGCTGCATGGTGTTCCCCATGAACACTCTCCGTCAATGAACAACATCTGCTGGAAAAGCACTTGGGTGGATCCAGATGAGTTGTCAATCTATTTGACAACTTATTATGGGATGGGGTCAGGGGGCTACTGGCTCCATAGCCACTGCATTGGCTTGGAGTGAGCATGGTACAAAAAAAAATAAAACCGTTGAATCACTATCAAGTAGAGGAATTACTTTATAAGCACAGGGGTTTCTGAAAGATTTAATTTGTCAGTTTCATACTGCAGAAGCTGAACTACAACAAAAATCAAAAGCTATTATTAATGTACATCAGTGCATTTGGTGTAAAAAGTGTGGGGTGGAGGAATGGAAAGCCCACGCTTTTAGAACAAAACTAATTGGTAAAAAAAAATAAAAAAATCAAAATACAAATATTACCTAGCATAACTACCTCTAGCAAAATTTCACCTACATTTGGCTTCCTGGAGTGCCCCTTTCCATAAGAAATAATTAATTTAGCTTAGCCTAATGCAACATGTACCTGCAAGTATCATTTAATTCTAAACTTTTCTTTATTCTCCAAAATAAATTAAAAAGTACCAATGTGTCCTTTTGATGAATCTTACGCAGTATCCCTGCCACTCCATATTTGGCAAACAGGTGCATATACTTGGAGCCAGTACTATATGGTAACCTACATATTATAGATAACCAGCTGTGAACCTTTAACAACACAGCACAAAAAGCCAGTACGTTCAGAACCATAACATTGAAAAGGCTCTAGAATTGTGAGCATTCCCTTTTAAATATTTTGGTTCTATTTATACCACTTGTAAACGATATTGTACCATTGTATATTTATTTTTTCCGGTGTGTATATATATGAAAACGTTTCATGCCATATGGGTAAGCTGTGATAATTTTTTTTAGTGCTGCTCTATACACTGTTGTTGGAAAGGGGTAGTATCACCTAAACCTTGTTCCAGCAGCTTGTGGTTTTTTTTTTGGTTCACTATTGGATTTGAGTAAATAGGAAAACCCAAACAGTGCCAAAGCTGCTATTAGAAATAAAAAAATATATATAAGTTTCTCTCATAATCTTACCAAGCGCCCAAATATCACACTGATGGAACAAAACACCAAGATCAATAAAAAAATACAAATATTACCCAGTATAACTATCTCTAGTAAAACTTCCCCTAAATTTGGCTTCCTTGAGTGCCCCTTTCCGTAAGAAAATCATCAGTTTAGCTTAGCCAAATGCAACATGTACCTGCAAGTATTTAAATTTTAAACTTTATTCTCCAAAATAAAAACTACCACTGTGTCCTTTTTGAGTCTTATGCGGTATCCATGCCAGCTCTGCCCTGCAGGTGGCGCTCTTAGCCCAGACACATGCACCTGCTTAGTAAAAGGCTTGCAGCTGTCTTAATGGTCCTAGATAGCAGTGTGTGATAGAAAGCAGGAATGTCCTGTCACAGCAGCAAGGGAAAAGGGCAACTGTGTCAGCTACTCTTGGGCAGCAACAGCAGGTATATAAATATATACATATAGAGGAAGTATACATTTATCATCCCATACACTGCAAAATGGACTATGTGCGCTATTTAACACAGGGAAAGTACAGAACATTCATAAATACATAAGAATCACCGCTATCCAGATTTCACTAAACCAAAACTCCACTGGAATTATTTTAAAATAATTTAGTACATATACCTAATAAAAGCCATGCATGTAGTTAATTCATTTGAGGGTTTATAACTTTAAAAAAAAAAAAAAAAAAAATTGTTGGCTGCATTTGCAAGCTCACCCCTTCTAACCTCACCCAGACATTGTGACTGTCCAATCACAGACTCCCTAATGCAGCTCAATGAGAAGTCTTTGCAAGGCAGGTGCTCTGAGCAATAGTTCCGCTGAGCTAACAATCAGGAAGTAACAGAAGCAGTCTGACAGGCAGGGGTGTGTGACAAGGTTAATTTATAAGTGCCAATTTCCATTGAAATCTGCACTTTTGGTAAAATAAGGAAAACATGTCACTACTCCGTAAGAAAATGCTTTAGTTGTGTGGAACGTCCCATTAAACCAAATACATAATTTTCACAATTACCTCTATCCAACTTTGCACTGGAAGCTCACTTCCCTCATCACACCCCTAATGCATTTTTCTACATTGTAGTCATCTGTACTCTACTGGTTATGGCACAGGTAACAGTCAGCACTCCAGATGTTTTGGACTACACCTCCCATGATTCTTTGCCAGCATTATGAGGTAATTAGTCCACAACATCCAGAGTGCCGAAGGTAGCCTATCCCGGATCTAGCACATGCCAATACTAAGCAATGGCAATTATAAGCATAGCCTGCAGTGATGAGCGCCATCTTGTTCTTAAAAGGCCACCAAAGTAACCAAAACACTTAATTTTAACAAAATGGTCTGGTTGCTGTGGTCCTGTCATTTTAACCTTGCAATGTAGAAAATGCAATAGTTACACTACAAGGTTAAACACCTATTTGCGGTCTTTGATAGCCACTAACTTCCCCAGAACAAAGTAAGGCTTCATCCTGCAATCAAATGCTATAGTAGCATTTAATTGGAGGCCAGTGGTGCATTCCTTGTTTCAAGCCTTTTCTTCCTTAAAGGAAACAATGGAGTGGCGCAGTTCGTGAGCGATGTCCGCTTAAGAGCCGACATCAGAGAAGGAACTGGAAGTTGCCACGGATGAGTTTTTGCAGCAAAAGCAAGGTTAGTAATGTGTATTTTACTTTGACTGTACAGAGCAAAGGAGGAAGGCAGTGATCACTTTGCTGTAAGGGAACCTATAGTCCTTATAGGACTTCATATTTTCAAGACTATAGCTTTCCTTTAATGGCATACACATAGATTTTGCCTGGAAATAGTAATACAGCATCAGGCTCCTAGTGTATGGAAGGATTCTGTGTTTAACACTCATTTTCAAACCACTTACCTGCTCATGCTTTATTTTAGCAGCAAATTGTTAAATTATTATATCAATAAGCCCCCAACGTTTTGGCAGAATGCTCCCTTGATAAAAGGCATTCGGCCTAAACATTGGGGGCTTATTGATTGACTGTCCCTGCTTCTCATTAGGTCTGGTATGTTTTTTTTCGTTGTTTTGGGGTTTTGTATCTCACTTTGTTAGTTATGATACTGATATTTAGCTATTCATGCAGTAAATATTTGCTGTGTATGCAAATCGAGTTGTTCTGGCTGTTAGGACTATGTTTCTCTGATTTATACTGAAAGATATTCAATTACTGTAAACCCCTTTAATAAAGATTTTTGCATGTACATGTTTATGGTTGTGCTGGATTAATATTTGTAATGTATTTGGGCTTTTGGGGATAGAGTCTCATGTAAGCGAGCACCCAGTACCATGTTCACAGCTCCATTTGGAGTTAGTCTGCATTAAGCATTGGAGTGTGCCTACCTTGCTTTACATGTACACAGACACAACTACACCTCTACTATTATTGGGAGATTAGGTCAACCATTGAACTGTACATTCTTTCTGGCCAAAGAGCTCTAATGTGGGCAGACAGCCAATCAGGGAATTAACCAGTGCCAAGGGCTGCATGCATAGTCAGCATGTGCGCATGTCAATGATTGACAGATACCCATCAATAGCAGCTTAGATGGGAAACCAAATCATACCAAGTGGAAAATGACAGGGAGGAGCCTGTTACTTTCTCAGTGACCTATTAAGACTGACACCTTTGATAACCTTGATGTTTTCCATTTTAACTTGTAATAACTTGAATAAAACGTGGCCACTCAAAATATTCCAAAATGCAATGCATTATTCTGAGATCCTGCCATATGAACAGCCCTTTTAACAGTACCGAATTAGAGCTGAAATATCCCGATCAACAAAACCAATCCACCCTCCCAGACACAAAACAAACAGAACTTGTTTGAGCACAGGCGTTTATTCAGTAGTGTAGTGCGCAGACAAAGCATTGCTGGGTAAGTGCTTCCACCCTGTGCAACAGGTCCAATGATTCGGGCACAAAATTCACAATGACACGTGATTACTCACTGAAACAGACATGAAGTTGTAAGAACTTAGGAAATTTTCAGAACCCACTTAAATAATGGGTCCATAACGAAAGATAGCTCTCGTTAACACACTAATGATCTTCAGCTTTACCTAGAGGGCAGTCTAACTTCTTTCTTTACCAGGGTGTACAAATAAGTGGCTGGACATGGCAGGAGAATAGGCAGTATGTGGCCCACCACACTTGCACAGAAAAAGGTTAAACCTCAATGTCAAATTTATTTGGGGGATGTGGGGCAAGGTCATGGGGTGAGCGGTATGGAAAGGAAGACCAGTCACTCATGAGTGATACACAACACGATCGTTAGCACAGCAACATAAAGAGTAAGTGTCATAAAGCCTGCCGGTGCTGAACTAGATTTAGAGCTGATTGACCATGGCTGTTGTGACTGCTGGCAGTGAGAACCGGGGCAACAGAGTCTCTGAATGGGCATAGGACAGCCAAATATGAATCGTGAAATGCAAACAGCGTATGAAGTGGCAGAGATTTGGAAAGGCTGCTGCAAAGAATGTTTAGCAGGCGCCTCATTCGCTCATTCACCCCCCCCGCTCCCCCAAAAAGCACACAAATTTTAGGACACCGTGCACACCAATTCAAGAACAAACATTGAGAGAAAGCGTGAGACAGGGCTTTGTGCTAAAATCTCTGGAAACAAGATACTTATAAAGAAAGAATTCCCAAAATTGCTAATTGTGCAGCTCATTAAGTTGCAATTGGCAGAATATAAACAAATGTTGACACAGGAAGAGGCAAGGAGTCACATGCAGCTAAAAAGGTTAGGGAGGATTGGGCTAGTTATTGGCAGGAAGGGAGCCATTTGTAGCACTTCTGCAAAGTTATTGGCCCAATACATTTTACATTGTTTACAGCAATTAAAATTTAAGACACCACTACCCATTTAAAGCAAGTTACTAGGACAGTAGAGCTATAAAACAAAAAAACTCCCAAGTCATTATGAAATAACCGTTTTATGAGCCATAACAAACTAGTTAACTATGAAATCCATTAATGGCATGCTACCAACATGAGAGCCCAAATATTTATACGAACAGAGATTTCTGGTTAAAGATTACATTTTGGCCCAATATTTCTGCCTCTACTTGGGGCAGGGACTAGGAAAGTCACCGTTTACAAAAATGCTAACCCCTCACCCATTCAGAGTCTCTGCTGCTTCTCACTGCAGGGGAGGGGGCTGATTGTGTTTGGGGGATGGGAAGGGGCTCTCCAGTGACTAGGTAAAATGGGGCAAGAAGGTTTCAAGCAACCTCCTCCTCGCCTTCCTCTTCAAACTCTCCTTCCTCTGCTGTTGCATCCTGATACTGTTGGTATTCTGAGACCAGGTCATTCATGTTGCTCTCAGCTTCTGTGAATTCCATCTCGTCCATTCCCTCTCCAGTGTACCAGTGAAGGAAGGCCTTGCGCCGGAACATGGCTGTGAACTGCTCAGAGATGCGCTTGAACAGTTCCTGGATGGCAGTGCTGTTTCCAATGAAGGTGGCAGCCATCTTCAGACCACGTGGTGGGATGTCACAAACTGCAGTCTTGACATTATTTGGGATCCATTCCACAAAGTAGCTGCTATTCTTATTTTGAACATTCAGCATTTGTTCATCTACTTCCTTCATGGACATGCGTCCTCTGAATACAGCAGCCACTGTGAGGTAGCGTCCATGTCGTGGATCACAAGCAGCCATCATATTTTTGGAGTCAAACATCTGCTGAGTAAGCTCGGGCACTGTCAGTGAACGGTATTGCTGGCTCCCGCGGCTGGTCAGTGGGGCAAAGCCTGGCATGAAGAAATGAAGACGTGGGAAGGGAACCATGTTGACTGCTAGCTTACGAAGATCCGCATTGAGCTGGCCAGGGAAACGCAGGCAAGTGGTGACACCGCTCATGGTGGCGCTAACTAAGTGGTTGAGGTCGCCATAAGTAGGAGTTGTCAACTTCAGAGTGCGGAAGCAGATGTCATACAGAGCCTCATTGTCTATGCAGTAAGTTTCATCAGTGTTCTCCACCAGTTGGTGCACAGAAAGTGTAGCATTGTATGGTTCTACCACTGTATCTGACACCTTGGGAGAGGGCACTACACTGAAGGTGTTCATGATGCGGTCAGGGTATTCCTCACGAATCTTGCTGATAAGAAGGGTTCCCATTCCAGAGCCTGTACCACCACCAAGTGAATGTGTAAGTTGAAAACCTTGTAGGCAGTCACAACTTTCAGATTCCTTCCTCACAACATCCATCACAGAGTCTACCAGTTCTGCACCCTCTGTGTAGTGACCCTTTGCCCAGTTGTTACCAGCACCACTCTGACCTGTAAAAAAGATAGGATGTCTATTAAGGAAAGTCATGTTTTGCAAGATATACCAAAAACATCCTAAAGAGGCCTGATTTTTCCACCAGCTACAGCACAACTGGATTGTCTGACCTCACCAAAACAAACTTCCTGTGTGCTTCACAACTGAACAGTGTAAAGTTTAATAAACATCCCCATGGAAATGTGAGTGGGCAAGTCCTAAATACAAAACTTATGTTGATCCTTGATGTCTGTCTTGGAAAGTCATTAGCCGAGTATTAACGACTATACAGTTTTTGCATAGATTCATGGACAGGATCACCTAAAAGGTCTATACATTTTATAGGTTATCCTTTGCCGAGTGGCTATTATGTTACGTGATACGCAACAGCATCACAACATACAGGTATCAGAGCATAGATTTAAGGCATACCCCATTGTGTATCCATTTCTGTGAATGCATATTTCCTGTCTAGCCTCAAACTGTTAATGCAGTACAACTTAATGACATTTTTTTATTTGACTTTTATTAGTCAGCTGAAGGCATTTAACAACGGAGAGCCTCCCTTCTCCCATCAAAGCCTGCTGCTATCGTACAATCTGAGGCTCCTGTCCTACAAGGTGGGACAGGAAGGTGGTGACAATATACAATGTCACTGGTTGAGTCAGAAACCCTGTATCCGCCTGAACATTTGTTAGGTGGTTGGAGACAGAGCACTGGAGGATCAGCACAGATTCTCTTAAATTTAGTTTTAGAGATAAACCACCCACTGTTGGTGGAATTGGGGAAATAACAGAAGCTCTTTAGAGAAAGCAAGCCTTTCCATTTTATTTCTCATTGATGTTTCTACCCATGACACAATGGTGGCTCTACAGTGAATGTTGCCATGGAAACTGCTACATTGTCATAGCAACACTTCTTCATGAAGCAATGTTTTCTAACAAAAGCAGAGCTTTTCAGTCAACCAACCCAATTTGAACATACCATCTTTAAATTTCTTATTTAAAGATAGCAATTCTTATGACTTATGACAATTCCTGTAAGGAATTTAAGATAAAAAATTGCAAATAAATGACTTCCATTTCACAAGAAAAAACCTCTAAGCATGTACAAGGCTAGATTTGTTGACTTGTGAAAATGTTCCAAGAGTCCAATTTATAGACTGCAGTTAATATCTATTTTCTCCTCAGACAGACAAGACCTGTGTATGCAAACACCATAGCCTAGTGTTAAAAAAACCAAAAACAATGCCTCAATCTCAAATATGATTCTACGTACCGAAGACGAAGTTATCTGGTCTGAAGATCTGTCCAAAAGGCCCGGATCGGACTGAATCCATTGTGCCAGGTTCAAGATCAACCAGGATTGCTCTGGGGACATACTTGCCACCTGTGGGACAAAAATAAGCCTCAATACAAACAAGATAAATTTACTACCATAGTAAAGATTGATAAGAGTTGTACAGTCATTCTAGCACCACTGCACCAGACAGCCAAAACAGTTCCTACCTGAGGCCTCATTGTAGTACACATTAATCCTTTCCAGTTGGAGATCACTGTCTCCGTGGTATGTTCCTGTAGGATCAATTCCATGTTCATCGCTGATCACTTCCCAGAACTGCAAAGTGAAAGTATGAGTAGATAAAGATTCTGCTTGCTACACAAATTACACACATCATTAGGTGTTTCAGATAGGTCAGCAGACGATTTGCAGTAATTTATAACTTTCAGTAATTTACCGTTTATCAAGAAAGCAAAGTCTAGATAGCAAGAATGTCACATGCCTATAAAAGTCACAAGATAACATCCTTGGAGATATGAACGCAATAAATGCTGCTTTAGTCTAAATATTTTAGATTTCAGTAGCCAAATAGCCATTTTAAATGATACAAATAAAACAGATTGCTTTGGTAATCAAGAAGTTAGAAACCTATTATCTTAAGAGACCTCAGACGGTGGAATGCGTAAAGCCCCCAAACAACCACCCTCCAAGGAAATGCCAAGGAACTAGGGCAAATTGTGCACACTATTGCTGCTCATGGTTTTATAAGATTAGCATTTAGACAAGGCTTAATTTGGGGGTTTCGGAACAGTCGGTTTATCAAACTACAATGCGTTCAGCTCTACAGAACACGAAAACCAAATTTCACACATAAATTTTTGGTGTCAAGTCCCATTCAGAAAGTAGGCCTACATTATTTTAATCTAAAAGTCACCAATACTGAAAGGCTTTTCGATGAGTGACAAAAATATACTGCTATAGAGCTGGTTTGTTCAGACAAGCCAACAGCTGGCCAGGGACACGACAATACTCCAATGCCAGTTATCTTCAATCAGAAGACAACCAAAAGATAATGGTAAGCAGGATCAGCAAGCTGATTTTAGGCAAAGGGCAAGATTCAGGAAGCATACTATCTGCTAGTTCCAATCAGATGTGACTCTCAGTGGCTGATTGAGAAATGCATCTTTACCACAAGACCGGAAATGCATGTCGATGGCATCTCACTATGCGTGTGTCAATTTCTACACTATGGTCAATGCCAGAGATAGCAGAATCCTGAAAAGTGAGATGGCACTTAACTCAGCAGGATTTTGCTGTCTTGTGGCATCTTCCATAGACTAATTTTGCACTCTTCAGTATGTGAAAGTGTTCAGTGACACCTTCCCTAGAGACCCACTATCCGAGCTGTTAAGTCATCTTTGAGTCATTCACAATAGCAAGGAATAGAAGGTAACCCAACCCTTGTTGATACTGGCGATGTTATGGATCAATTTCCCAGGCTTTGACAGCTTAGAAATAAGATTCTTACAGTCCATAACATCTCCACAGATGTCCAAATGCGAAAATCATATGCTGTGACCATCAATTCAGTTTGACAGCTTACCGTGAGGTTAGGCACAATAAGTGATTTTAAAAGGCTGCCATGCTAGCTGTGACTTTATAGTCTGCCGGTTGGCATTCATGTTCTATGTTCACATACTGTAGACCATGTTGTACATGGTCAGATCAAACAGCTACAAGAACTGTTCTAGAAATTAGAGAAGTGTGAACGTATGCCAAGTCATTTATGGGCGAACGTAATCAAGTCGTATAGATTAGGGTGATAAAATGCAGTGCAGCCATTTAAGGGAGAGAAGAAAAAAAAGTTTATTGTTTGAATGTCAAGATAAAGATTTGTTACAAATACACACAGGTAAAAACCCTCCACAAAAGCCATGTCATTTTACCAGCAACATATCTAAAGAATACAATTGAAGTGCACATATCTCCATAAGCTAAACGTACACCTCCTTCCCTTTAGCAGGCAGATAAAGAAAGATGTCTGCTGCAGCAAAGAATCTGCTCTCATCGCCCCCACCCTCCGAGTTCCTGCATTCAGTGTATTCCCTTCCCCCACCCAAGACACATGCAATCCAACACATTATGGAAAAATCTGTGTCAGGACCAAGACCAGCACAGATTAATGTTGTTTTGTGTTCGTGACAAAAGAGCCTCATGGCAATAGAGTCTGGGCTTTCAACACTGACATGCCACCATTTTCCTGCATCCCAGACAAAGCAGCCAACCACCTTGCATAGGGGGCTTACTCGCTGAACCGTGAATTGTGAAGAACTGCCAAGGAATGTGGCAAATTTCAGACCTTACGAGCCATTTTATAAAAAAAACCACACTTTCAAGATCTGCTATATTTGTCAAAAAAAAAATATTTAATTTTCTTAGCAATTCTCCACAATTTCCTGTTACCTTAAAGCCCTACTGCATTTGCATTCAAGCTATGGAATTGGTGTATGAATTAAAGGTCCGAAATAATTCTACAAAACAGTCATTCTAAGACCCAAAAAATATAAATATCAGAAAACGTGAACACTAGAAGTCCTAAGGAGATAAAAAATAAAATCCTCGCATAATGCCACAATCCAATCAGATGTCAGTGACACCATACATCAGGCTTTTTACCCCAAGTATTTACTATCTTGTGTAAAGGCGTGCGGAAATAGGTTCCATGTATGGCAGAGTCTTGGCAATAAAACGCACAGGCTGTGTGTCATTCCAGACAGGGCCAGGTCATTTCTCCCGTATGCGTCAGTGCGGGTAGATCCGGCTGTAAAGGGGTGTGGCAGGGAGACTCCTTCTCCGTAGTATAGAAAGAAAGCAGTTAAGCATATAGATATTATAGGCGCATACCTATACACAAAAATCCAAGATCACGAATTGATATTTATACACATTAATGACTGTATGCATAGCTTTAATTAATACCCCTATATGTCCGTAAAAACACACGGTGTGACATGTAATTAAAGCTACCTCCGAGAACATCCACAAATCTCAGAAGAATAGAAATTACTTTAAAATGTTAATTGCCCACTGTAATAGATGTATCTATTATAGCAATTTAGTAAATTGGACCCCGAGACACAATGGCTTCCATGTACATTAGCACACAGAAAGTGTAGCAGTTTTTATTTAGCTAAATGACACTGTCATACCAACACCAGTTGCTCCCACCACACCCTACTGCCAAGGAAGACAAGGCGTCATCGCAATGCTGCATTTCCTGGTGCGTCACAGCTACAATGACCACTCTCTGGGAAGATGTTCACACTTAAAACCCCTTAATAAGTCAATGTAGCCCCTCCACCATATTAGAGTGTAAGCTCTGGAGGTCAGACTGCAACAAAATGCTACCTTCTTCTGTCCTTTATTGCATTCTGCTCTCACATGTATTGCATTCTGTACCCTGCATAGCCACATCCTGCTCTGTTCTTCACCCCCTGTATATTAGAGTGCAAGCTCTGCGGGTTCAGGGCGTCACAAATGGCTTAATACAGTGTATGATATAGCTTAGTAACCCCTGATGTGGGATCTGAACTGCTCTGAATTATATTGCTTTATTACAGATTAGCCAAACCCTTAATAACAATATTGATTGCAAGCTCTTGGGCACAGAAATCCCCCTCCAGCATGGCTCCTGTAAGATGACAGGCATCCATTATTTTATAAAGATTGAACAACCCCCAATGTCCCCTCACCTTGGCCCCGATCTGGTTTCCGCATTGCCCTGCCTGCAGGTGCACGATTTCCCTCATGTTTCTGGTGTGAAGCGGCCCTGAAACAATGTAACAAGCTGAATCCCGAACGTTCTGCGCGGGTTCTGAGCCGTGCCCGAGACTTATATATAGCCGACGTCAATCGAGTGACGTCACTGCGTGGGCGGAAACAAAAAACACCCCGCGTCCATTTTGCTATAGGGCGCGGTGCTTGTGTAGTAGCGATTCTGTTCCCTGCCATTCGCGGCCATCTTAGATCAGAAGAGGTGACGTCGTCGCCTTGGCGAGCGGCCATTTTGGTTTATGGTAAAATGCCCAAGACATCGCATTGCGGCCATTTTCAGTCAGTGACAAGTGCGCCATCTGCTGGTCAATGGCTACAAGTGCAGGGATGGTGGTGTGTATGGTTGTAGAACACACAGCAAAATGCGTGCAGACAAAAGAAATCAAGGAGGTTTTTTTTAGAGAATACAAATAGAAACTAACAAATTAAAATCGATTATAATAATGTAGGCCAATCTTATTCAGCTTGATGCCGCTTCTGATGGTCCTGAATTAAGAAAAAAATAAATACATGTTGAAGCTATTTCCATATTTGTCTCAAAAGGTCAAATAAATCCTCTGGCTCCAATGTGAGAATCACATCTATTGTTGCTTTTACACATGAATAATTTTAATATAATGTGTATCCTATTTGGAAGCTTGATATTATTTAAATGTATCTATACTGGTTAAAGAATAATAAAGTGGATTGTCACCTTCTCTGAAAATGACACCATAGAATAACAACTTGGACACCGTCTATAACTTGCGATAACACTTTTCTCACGCGACACGCCGTTTTCTCATAAAATCTGTTACTGATTTAGCAAATGACATCACAATCCAATTCTGACAAGTCAACGACCAAGATACACAGCAATTAAGAATGAGAAATAGAATGCGGATACATGGTACAAAGAGCAGGGCTTCTAACAATGACTGACAGGGAGCTAGGATGAAGGTGTTCTTTTACTTTCATTTTTCTCATTTTTCTCACATAACACATAGTTATACTGTTAAATACAGAGAATGTGAACCTTGACCCCTGTAATCAAGTCCCTTAAGTCCATATACTTAAAAGACACAAAAAGCACCATAACCACTACCAAAACAGAGAACATGAGAACTAAAAGATGCTTAGAGAATCTCAATAGCATGCCCTTCTGTAAATCCCCACTCAGGTGTCAAAATAGCTTTAGCTCACTTTTGCCATTAAAGCATGAACATATTCCATTTGCCTATCAAACTGATCATTCCCACCAGGGCAGTCCTGATCGTAAAAGTTCACAAGTTCCCTCTGCACGACAGTTACAGCGGATAAGCCAAATTTTCTTGGCTAATCAGCTCTGATTCGCTAAGGCATGGACTCCACGAGACCTGAACTGCCCTGTGGTGCCTGGCACCAAGAAATTAGCAGCATATACTTTAGGCCCCGCATGTGATGAGGTGGGGCCTCTGTGAGTTGGGCTTGTTGTTCCAGCTCATCTCTCAGATGCTCAACCAGATTGAGATCTGAGGAATTTGGAGACCAAGGCAACATCTTGAACTCTTTGTCATGTTCTTCAAACCATTGCTGATCAATTGTTGCAATGTGGCAGGGTGCATTATCCTGCTGAAAGAAACCATTGTCATCAGTGAACACCATTGCCATGAAGTAGTGTACGAGGTCTCCAACAATCTCTGGGTAGATGGTATGTTTCAAAGTAACATCCACATGAGTGCCAGGACCCAAGTTTGTCTAGTAGAGCATTGCCCAGATCATAACACAGCTTCTGCTGGACTGTCTTCTTCCCATAGTACATGCTGCTACCATGTCTTCCCCAGGTAAATGACGTACACAGCCATCCACCTGATCTAAAAGAAAACATGATTATCAGACCAGGCAACCTTCTTCCATTGCTCCATGGTCCACAAGTGCACTAGGCCCTCCCATAGAATAGCCTCGAATCAATGAGGACATCCAGCATCGTTTTGTGGAGTCAAACTTTGTGAAAGGCCAGGAAGCACCTCTAGTGACTAGTTGTGTTTTAGATCAAACCAAGTGTTTGCTTAAGTATCTGCCCCCGTCCAGATTGCTTAAAATAGAACGCTTGCACGCTGAAGTAATTCACACTGAGACACAGGTTTCAGGTTAATAAAAAACTTCGGAATGTTTAATCAGGGGGGCAGCAGGCCCCTTATAAAGCAGAAAGTACATCATAAGCAAAATGCAAGATAACAGAGATAATACATCTTTAATTGGTCAAGTGTTAAGTGTCTTATCTAATGCACTTCCTCCAAAGTGTGATGTCACCATCATCTCAGGATTTTACTCCGGATGGAGACGCCATCTTGCTACACGAGGTGGTTAGTTGATGGGAGGGGGTGCTCTAGCAGCCATTTTGATTAAATACTGAATACGTGTATACAAAGTAAATAGACATTTTACCTACATTAATTTCTATCCATAACAGTTGTAAACAGTGACTTGAGGCAGGCTTAACCATGCAATGAAAACATTGCAGTTTTTCTGATTGCAGGGTTAAGAGGACAATTGCACCTAGACCACTTCAATGAGATGTAGTTATCTAGGTGCCTATAACGTCCCTAAGTTCTTCAGCAATTTGAGCTGCAGTAGCTCTTTCGTGTGATCTGACCAGAATGGCTATTCTTTGCTACCGACATGTATCATTGAGCCGTAGGTGTCCATGACCCTGATGCTGGTTCACCGGTTGGCCATCCTTGCACCACATTTTGTAGGTATTAACCACTGCATACCGGAGACACCCCACAAGACGTGCCGTTTTGGAGAAGCTCTGACCCAGATGTCTAGCCATCACTATTTGTCACTTGTCAAAGTCACTCAGATCTGTTCGCTTCCTAATTTTTCCTTCTTCCTACACATGAAATTCAAGAACTGACTGTTTACATACTGCCCAATATATTCCATTCCTTGACAGGTACAAAATGTAATGATATCATCAATGTTAGTCACTTCACCGGCCAGTGCTTTTAATCTTGTGGTTGATCAGTGCCTTTCCTACCTTTCAGACTTTCTCCCCGGCTACTGAATAAGAGTTGGCTGTGCTTCTCCTTTCCTCTTGCCCCACCACTTGCCCGCTTGATCCTGTCCCATCTCACCTTATCAGATCTCTCTCCCATTGTCTTGTGCCTTCCTTAACACACATCTTCAACTGCTCTCTCTCTTCTGGCATTGTGCCTGCTGACCTTAAACATGCCACTGTAATACCTATCCTGAAAAAAACATCTCTTGACCCGTCCTCCCCCTCTAACGATCCTTCCATATCCCTGCTCCCTTTTTCCTCAAAGCTTCTGGAAAGACTTGTCTTTACCCGTATGTCTCACTTCCTCAATTCCAACTCTCTCCTTGACCCTCTTCAATCTGGCTTCCACCCTCTCCACTCTGCTGAGACTGCCCTTATCAAAGTTACTAATGACCTAATCGCAGCTAAATTCAAAGGCCACTACTCCATACTAATTCTTCTTGACCTCTCTGCTGCCTTTGACACCATTGATCATGCTCTCCTTTGTCAAACTCTTCAATCACTCTTGGTCTCTGTGACTCTGTCCTCTCGTGGTTTTCCTCTTTCCTCTCCCAACGTTCATTCAGTGTCTCCTTTTCTAGTGATCCCTCCTCCCCTCGCCCTGTCTCGGTTGGAATCCCCTAAGGCTCTGTCCTTGGTCCCCTTCTATTTTCTCTTTATACTGCCTCTCTTGGCAAACTTATTACCTCTTTTGGATTCCACTACCACCTTTATGCTGATGACACCCAGATATATCTCTCCTCCCCGGACCTCTCCCCTGCTGTCCTGCAACGTGTCACTGCTTGCCTTTTTTCCATCTCTGACTGGATGTCCTCCTGCTTTCTGAAACTCAATCTCTCTAAAACTGAGTTTCTTGTCTTTCCTCCTCCTAATACTGATCCTCCTCTTTCCCTCTCCCTTCAAGTTAGTGGTATCCACATAAGTCCATCCTTGCAAGCGCGCTGTCTTGGTGTCATATTTGATTCTAGCCTCACCTTTGAGCCTCACATCCAGCATGTTACCAAACCCTGTAGATTCCATCTTAAAAACAAAGCCCGCATCCGCCCCTTTCTCACGCAAGGTGCTACCAAGGAGCTTGTCCATGCTCTAGTAATTTCCTACATGAATTATTGTAACCCTCATCTAATTGGTCTTCCCAAAAACTGTATTGCCCCGCTACAGTCTGTAATGAATGCTGCTGCCAGACTGATTTTCCTCTCTAGTCGGTCCTCTCACACCTCCCCCTTTGTAAGCTCGTTTGAGCAGGGTCCTCTTTAACCTATCGTTCCTGTAAGTTTTCTTGTAATTGTCCTATTTATAGCTAAATCCCCCCTCTCATAATATTGTAAAGTGCTACGGAATCTGTTGGCGCTATATAAATGGCAATAATGATAATAATAGTAATCAGTGTATGTCAAACTGTTCCTCAACTGTTTGACGAAAGACCAGGTGCTTTTTTTACAAACAAAACTCACAGATCTCTGTAAGGTTATTCATGCTCATGTGGAGTATATTATGTGCTTGACGATGTGAGATTATCAATTATCAGTATGGGATATGCAGCAAGAGGGTACATTCACTGAGACCAGGTTATGCTGAAGAATGCAGACTCTGCTTCCCAGTACTCCATTGGCATCAATGGCGACCGACGTGTTATGAATATCATGATAAAATTTTCATCTCACAGTGTCCATTTGCAAACACATATATTGTAATATATCATACTTACTCATATTTTGGCAGCCTGGTCGGCCCAGATACCGCACTCCCCTGGCCAGTGACTTGGATAATGCAGGAGTGGAGAAAATAGATACAACAGACATGGAATACAGGGTAACCAATCCGCATGCAGCAAAGGTAATATAAGTCCCAAGCAGGTCAACCAAGTCCACTTTCAAGCTGTGATACCGGAAGATAATTAAACTGTAGAAACAGAAGAATAGATCTCAATAGATAAACAGTAAATGAAGGGAAATCCATTAAATATCATCCAGGTTAAACTGTATAAGAAGAACAAAAAGAGACAAAGGAATGGGTTCATGTTGGGAGGGATAATACTTGAGTGTCTAATA